TTCTCGCCATTTTTGTTGGAGTCCCTCTTCTCTTTTTTTGTGGGTTAAGAATTCGGCTACTGCAGAATCTGTACAATCCTTGTGTCTGTATGAAGATGGCGTTCGGTTTCTTAATCTCTCCCTAGAAACTCGGAGGGGTTGGGTTATGAGTTTTATGGTGGTTGTGATGAGACGAAGTTTTTCTCTGGGATTTTGCTTTTGCCTGCTTGATCACTACCCAATTATGACCCCTGTTTTTGTATGTATGTATCGTATACGTGTGCACTGACATGTATATTGAATGGGAAGACAAGAAAAAGGGTTGTCTTAGTTGTACCAGTTTGCTGGGTATAGACTGATTTAATCAATCTCTGGAAAGCAAAGGGAAAAGAGAGATGTGGAAGTGGGGATCTTTGGACGACCATTCCATAGTTCTGATATATGAAATGAGCCAAAGGGAAATGGAGATTATTTATTAGTTCAGCCGTGTATTTACCTGGGAATTTCAGTGTCCAGTTCTCTCCAGAGCATTAGAACGTTAGAAAAATTAGAACTCTGACATGCGTCTATGTTTGTTGACCATATAAGTGGGAGCACTTTGTCTCGGATAGGGTGATTATTGGCAGATGCATTGAAATTCTGTGTTTGAATAAGAAGGGAGGATGCGAATTTTGTCTTTCAATGTAACTCGGGTTTCGGGGTTCTTATAGGCAAACAATTGAAAGAGAGGATCCTGGTGATGATGATGGCCTTGGGCTCTAAATCCATGAGGTCAAACGAATCTTTATTTGTTTTTCACATTTCCCCCCTACTTGTTTGTATTTGAGCTGTGATATCCTCTAATGACTAATGCCATCTTATCGTGTTTTCCCTGGAATAGTAATAATTCTTACGGGCTTAGTTTTCAATGACTTCTTTAGGCGTCACAATCCCTGTTGTCCCTTTGAGTTTCTTCTGAGTTGAAGACAATGCAGCAATAGAATCCACATACAAATTTTATGCCAAAATCATCATCCGAGGTGATATTGGTTCCATATACACAAAAGCTAGTTTAAGAGTGGCTGTTTGACCCTTCCTTATATATTGGCCTCAAATCCCTCTCTTTTTCCGATGTGGGACACTTATCAATACCGCCCCTTTTAGACAGTGACGTCCACGGCGTTGGAACAAATCTGATCGCTGGCGGCTTCTCAATCACTGGCGGCTTCTCGGTCCATCTCCTGCATATCCAGAGGAGAACGGCCCGTCAAAGGCCCACCGGAAAGTGGAGAGTTAGGCTCTGATACCAATTAATAAGGTTTAGGCCCTAACTCCATCATAAAAACTAGCTTAAAAATGGAGGTTTGACCCTTCCCTATATATTGGCCCAAATCCCTCTCTTTTTCCGATGCGAGACATTTATCAGATGGTTGTTTTGGAAGCCTTCCATTCATAACTTGTTTGTTCATTATTTAGCTTCTGAAGGCCATCCTGCTTAAATTGCCAAACATGAGAGGTAGAATTTTCAGGCATCACTGGAACGCTTTCTTCCTAGTATTTCTTTTCAGCGCCTATAGTATCATTCAGCTGCTGGTCACAAGTCAATTTATTGTTTACTTGACTGGGCTTTTTGGGAGGCAATGTGTTGGTAGCTCTGTTGGTGAGACTATAGGATGATGATGTTATTTGTCCTGAAATTTTTTTTCATGAATAACTGAGGAACTCAATAGAGATTAGGATTTGTTGGAGCACACAAGAGGAGGTCTATTTCAGTCCCACAACTTGGAGCTTACAAGAGTGCATTGGATTAAAAAAATTGTTACCTCACGAGAAATTTTTGGAGAATCTGTGTGTTTGGCTGAAATTTGTTAGACTCTTTCTGCTTTTGTCGAAAAAACCAGTTTGTTAATGAACAGGGGGGTTCTACTTCTCCATTGGTCAGTGTATTAGGTGTTTGGGTGAACATTATTTGTCTGAAGGGTTTGTAGTCTCTCAAGAGTTGCATTTCATACGTTCTATTGTAGTTCATGTTTTTTCTTCAGTCCAACCAAGCACAAGGAGGTTTTCATTAGAGTGTTATCAACAAATATATATAGGATGTCAGTTTTACGTCAGGAATGTCTTTGCAAGTTACAGTGGGAGTGAATTGTGGAATATTACTTATTAGAAGATGTTAGAAAATCAATTCTAGATTCTCTTCCAATGGATGAGGCGGGTGAGTAGTTAGCCTTAAAAAAGTTGTATTGTAGTAATTGACCCGGAAGCTTGGAAACCAATTAACCCTTATTGGTGTACAAGACTTTGGAAAGGGGCCACAGTTTTGGAAGAAAAAAATGACTATGCAAGCATGTATATCATATTTGCTTTTTGTGCAACATTGGTACACTATTTGGGGTTTACAGCCGCGGTCTTGTGGTTATAGTCAAGTCTCAAATTTATCGGACTAATATCATGAAGTATTATTGTGCATGTAACTAGTTCTTGATACATATGTGAGCTGTTCTGATAGCATGTACAGCCAATACTTTTTCTTCAATTTTTCGTATTCTTTTTGCCATGTATAGATATTAAAACCTGCTCGCTTCTGATGCCAATTGTACTTTGGTTTACAATATTTCAGCTTACTAATATAATATGGGGTGATGACGGTGAGGCAGACGACCATATTGTGCCTTTGAAGGAAAGGAGTGGACTACAACTTAACAGGAAGGAATGGAGTGAAGAATCTAATATACATAAACCTGCTGAGCAGAAGACTATTGGGGCTAAGATTGACCTTCATGGGAAAAAGGTGGAGAGCAGTTCTAACTACAACGTTAATGAGGGGATTTCTAGCTCGGACTATGGTTTCAGCACATGGCCTGAGCCATCGTTATCTAAACCCACAAGAGTTGATCAGGAGTCCAGCGGGATTGAAGTTTCAAATAGCTTAGCTGAACCAGCCAAACATAGTTCAACCAGTGTTGGTGAGTTGTTTGAAATTATGAATTTTGTTCGTGTGTTTTGCTGTATTATCATCTAAATGGATCATGTTCTCCCTTTTCACAGAGAAGATGTCTGAACTTGGAAAAGGTACTGATATTTTCCATATTACTGATGATACTAAAGAGCAAAGTGATTTTGTCGACTACAGCTGGGCCAACATTGGTAGCTTCGACGATCTTGATCGAATGTTCAGGTAAAATTTATTTTCAGTACCTTCTAGTGCAGAACTGAAACGTAATATTAGCTTTCCTGATAGAAAACCAAGGTAATCTAGCAACAATATATTCCTTTCCCATCCTACTGCTGCTTTACTTCTGAGTATGAGCGAGACATCTGCCTCCCACGTAAAGCCATCTCTGTTTCTTCAATGATGTATTCCTTTCCCCCTCTATTGCTACCTTTTGATTGCGGCTTGAAAAAACATTCCCGAAATGTATGTTTTTGGCTAGCGTACTTGAAGGAGTAAAATGTGGAACATGCTTGAGTAGTTTACCTCCATGAATGATAATAAATTGCAAATGAATATGGTGGAAAAGTCTCGTGAAAGAATATTTTCTCTTTTTCATCTTTACTGGAGCCTTATCTCAAGATTGCTATATTGAAGAAATAAAGTTTTCCTTAATTTCTTGTGGAAGTCTTCGTTTAAACTGTGAAGTTGCTTTATTTTGTAGAAAACTAGACGTATAAGGTGGTGACTGGTGGTAACGCAATCGCAATCATGGCGATTGTAGGCGTTTGCGATGCGTTTGGTGGCGATTGCATGTGCACCGGTCACCACCTAAGTAGCATCACGTATTTGCTCTAATTTGTATCTGTCCTGCTTCAGGTGAGATACATATCTCTTCGTGGCAAAGTAAATAACTATCTTCAGGATTAGCAGCATTTGTTATTTTCATGCACATTGGTCTATGCCTGACACTATATCCTCACAAGTGATGATTTTGCAGCAATAATGTCCCCATATTTGGCGATGGCAGTCTCAGCAGTGCCGATGAGTTATGGTCTTCTTCCAAAGATGTAGCTAATAGTCCATCGAAGTCATTCCCCTCGATTTTGGACTCCCAAAATATAGAATATATTAAACCTGACTTCGAGCAGCAAGTTGACCAGCAGTTTTCATTGAGTGGAAAACCCGTTACTATTTCATCTCAAAATGTCGGAAGGGTATGTGCAACCTCAGTGGCTGAACAGTGCCCTGGGCATAAAGGTCAATCCGCAGCTGAGGAGCAGGTACTAAATATAAGTAGGCTGCTTGTTTTGCTTTCTACTTTGGATAGTGGTAGCCTGCGTTATATTCTGAATGGTTGATGATTCTGAAGCAAATTCTGACTTATTTCTATTTGTGAAAACCACAGAACCCAAATTTAGGTTCAGTTGAAAATTTTCCAGTTCTATAAATGCATTTGACATGAGTACTGTGATATGGTTCAGACCTCGGATTCAACAGCTGGAGAAGAACTGCCCAGCTTTATTGATCTCCGAAAACAGGTACAACTTGGATGACTTCGATTTGAGAGAGGTCCCCACTCTCTTCCCCTTACAATTCTCCACTAGAAATTGCCTAAACCCCTTCAATCCCTCCTCTACTCTATTTCTACAATCCCATCCTAACAGAACTACTAACAGCTAACCACATACCTAACTATAACAGACAATCAAACGCGTACAAGCTGTCCATTCACATATACTAACCACCTATACAAACAAACACAATCAACATATACTATCCACATATACAAACACACAGACAATCAAACGCGTACCTTACTCTGTAGATGTCTCTTCCTGCTTCAGCTTCTCTCTTCTGTTCCTCCATCTCCTTCTTCAGCCACTTCTTCAGCTCCTCCCTCTTGACCTTCACCCTTTACTGCTTCCTTTCCTCTCTCCCTGCCTCTGACGTAAACCCTGAAGTACTTATCAATACTCCCCCCTTTCTGTCTCAGCTTGTCCTCAAGCTGGAAACTAGGAAATTGCTTGTTGAAATCTTCAGCCACTTCCCACGTATTTTCATGTTCTGGTAAGTCCTGCCATTCAACCAAAACTTCCAACCAACCCTCTTTAGTATACCTGGAATCCTTGATGTCTTTCGGCTGGACTTGTAGTTCTAGCTCTCTTGTCAACTGCTTTGGTAATTGGTTTGGTTGTAGATTACTTCCCAAAGCCTTTTTAAGCTGTGAAATATGAAACACAGGATGAATGTTACAGCCCTTAGGTAACTTCAGTTTATATACTACCTCTCCAATCCTGCCTTCTATTTGAAAAGGGCCATAATACCGAGCAGCTAGCTTCTGATTACCCCTTGCTGCTAATATACTCTGTCTATAGGATCTGATTTTCAAATATACCCACTCTCCAACTGTTAATGTCAACTCGCGTCTTCCTTTATCAGCTGATACTTTCATTCTCTGTTGAGCTACTTGAAGTCTCTGCTTGACCTCCAATATCATTCTATCTTTCTCCCTCAATGCTTTTTCCAATTCAAAATTTGAAGTTGATCCCTCCTCGAACTTCAATAAAGTTGGTGGCTCCCTTCCATACACAATCTGGAATGGTGTGGACTGCAATGCTGTGTGGAAGGAAGTGTTGTACCAGAATTCTGATCAACTCAGAAATTGAATCCATTTCCTGGGATGAGCATTAGCATAACACCTCAAATATGTCTCCAAGCATCTGTTTAATACCTCTGTTTGCCCATCTGTTTGTGGGTGATAGGCTGTGCTAAACTTCAGTTTTGTACCTGCTATCCGAAATAGTTCCGACCAAAAGTTGCTGAGAAATATCTTGTCCTTGTCTGAAACTATCGATTTTGAAAACCCATGTAGCTTAACTACCTCTTGAACAAAAACCTTAGCAACCACCATAGCTGAGAACGGATGTTTTAAGGCTATGAAATGAGCATACTTGCTCAATCTATCAACTACTACCAGCACTACATTATAACCTGCTGATCTTGGTAAACCTTCAATGAAATCCATTGAAATGTCCTCCCAAATTTGTTTCGGTATTGGTAATGGTTGCAATAGTCCTGTTGGAGCCAAAGTGGAATACTTTTGGCTTTGACAGACTGCACATTCAGCTACATACTTCTTAATATCAGCCTTCATTCCCATCCAATGAAAAATCTCTTGTATCCTCTTCAGTGTTCTCAACACCCCTGAATGACCTCCCATCTTACTGTCATGGAACTCAGCCAAAATTGTAGGAACGAAACTTGAATGTCTGGAAACTACTAACCTGTTTTTATATCTTAGCATCCCTTGTAGCAAATGATACTTTCCCACTTTGGTTTCCCCATCCTTCAGCTTGTCAGTGATCTCCTTTAAATCTTTGTCTTGTCTAATTTCTTTTTCGATTTCCACCAGTTGGATGTTTCTTGGGATAGTTATGGCTAAACCCATGCATGTTGGTTCCAGAATTGCGTTGTGTGGCATTCTGGACAGGCCATCAGCTGCCTTATTCTCCACTCCTGGCCTGTAGACAATTTGAAAATCGTATCCCAGTAGTTTAGTCAACCAAGGTTGGTATTCCATACTCACCTCGCGTTGTTCCAGTAGGAATTTTAAGGCTTTCTGGTCTGTGCAAACCAGAAAACTTCTACCCAATAGGTAGTGTCTCCAACGCTGGATAGAGAGGACCACTGCCATTAATTCCCTCTCATAGACTGGTTTCAATCTCTCCCTTTCAGACAGAGCCTGACTAAAAAAGGCAATTGGTCTATGCTTCTGCATTAGGACTGCTCCGATGCCAAATCCCGAGGCATCCGTTTCAACCACAAGCTCTTCACGAAAATCTGGTAATCCCAGAACTGGAGCAGATGTCATAGCTTGCTTTAGTTTCCTAAATGCACTCGAAGCATCTTCAGACCAATTAAACCCATCTTTCTTTAGTAGATCTGTCAAGGGACAAGCTATTGTGCCGTAGTTCTGTACAAAACGTCTGTAATACCCTGTCAGCCCCATAAAACCTCTTAATTCTTTCACATTGCTTGGGTTGGCCATTTTTGCATTGCTGCTGTTTTAGCTAGGTCTGTAGACACTCCCTCCTGAGAAATTATATGACCCAGATAGTCTACCTGTTGTCTCCCAAACTCACACTTCTTTTTGTTAGCGTATAGCTTGTGTTTCTGTAACACTGCTAGCACCGTCTGTAGATGTGTTGCATGATCCCTTAGTGAGCAACTGTATATCAGAATATCATCAAAAAATACTAACACAAACTTCCTGAGGTATGGTCCGAAAATCTCGTTCATCAATGCTTGGAATGTTGCTGGAGCATTAGTAAGGCCAAAAGACATTACTAAAAACTCATAGTGCCCATCATGTGTTCTGAATGCTGTCTTGGGTATGTCTTCTGCCTTCATTTTGATTTGATGATAGCCTGATCTCAAGTCCAACTTTGAAAACACCCTTGCTCCATATAGTTCATCCAACAGTTGGTCTATCATTGGTATTGGAAATTTGTCCAATACTGTGACTTTGTTCAGCGCTCTGTAGTCGATGCAAAACCTCCAGCTACCATCTTTCTTTTTAACTAGTAACACTGGACTTGAAAAAGGGCTCTGGCTCGGTCTCACTATGCCTGCCTTCAACATATCCTTCACTAGCTTCTCAATCTCTTCTTTGTGTGCATGGGGGTATCTATAAGGTCTGACACTTACTGGACCTGTTCCTTCTTTGAGATTTATTGGATGTTCTCTACCCCTTATTGATCAATGATCTCAATGTTACTAATGAGTTATGTAAAGTTGGATCACCTGTTACTGTGATCCATGATGTGCCCTAATTGAACTTCAACTCCAGATCCTGAAAATCCATTTGAACTTTTCCCAGCTTCTGCAACCACTGTACTCCCAAAATCATATCAGCACTTCCCAATTCCAATGGTAAGAAATCTTCTACTACTTCTATATGCTGCAATTGTAAACGTACTGCCTTACAAACCCCTTTTCCTTTTACCTTCATACCTGTTCCCAAGGATACTCCAAATTGAGTGTTACCTTCAGGCCTTAGTTTTAGCTTTGTCATTAACTTCAATGATATGAAGTTATGAGTGGCTCCACTGTCAATCAATATTACTACCTCCTGATCTCCTACTGATCCTCGGATCTTAAGTGTTTTTGGTGAGGTTAGTCCCACTACTGAGTTGAGTGATAGCTCAGCAAACTCTCCCTCCTCCTCCATGTTTCCTTCTTCATTATCTTGTTCCTCTTTCAACTCCTCTCCTGTTTCCATTACTTCCTCAGCTAAGATTACTTGTAATTCTTTCTGTTTGCATCTGTGTCCCACAAAAAACTTCTCATCACACCTGAAACACAGCCCTTTCTTCCTCTTCTCTTCAAATTCCGCATCAGACATTCTTTTGAATGTTGATTTCTTTTCTTGAACCCCACCCTCTTCTTTTGGTCCTTTTCCTCCACAGATCTGTCTTCCTCGTTCCTGAAAATTGCTCTTGTATGATTGGTTCTGGTACTTCTGGTTTTCAGTGGGTACTGAAACTGTTCTGAATGATGAACCTATATTTCCCATCTTCCAATTTTTTCCATCACATCCTCCTTTTCCTCCACACACAGCACTTAACTTGCTGCCTTCAATACTCAGTGCTACATCTACGATTTCTTCCATGCCTTTAGGTCGAAATATTTGTAATATTTCCAGTATTTCTGGTTTCAATCCATTTTTGAATGTACTCTCTACCATTTCTTCAGGAGTATGAGGTACTTGAGCTAATAATTCTTCAAATTCACAGAGGTATTCTTCTACCGTACCTGTTTGTCTTAATGACAGTAGTCTGTCGAAAGGTGAGCCCAGTTTCCTTCCACCAAATCTTCTCCTTATCCTTTCTCTAACGTCTGCCCAGTCCTTGAATGGTTTCTTTCCATTCTGATAGTCATATCAGCTCAATACATGTCCATCGATGCACATAGCAGCTAATCTCAATTTCTCGTTTTCTGAACATTGTCCCATTGAAAAATACCTTTCAGCTCTTGTGATCCATGCGTTCACATTCGCTCCCTCAAATACCGGCATCTCGATCCTTTTGAAATGTGTACTACTGCTTCCTGTGAATTGCTCTTGTTGATACTTGTCATTATCTCTTTCTGTTCGATGTGTCGCGTTTCGCGCCTCTTGTTCGCCTTCCTGTACTTGATCGCTTCCCTCTTCTGGCTCTGGATTGCATGTCGCATCTGGAATTGCATCGCGATTCCCTTGCGAGCTCTGCTGATGATTTATCGGTTGTGGACTCGCGTTTTGCTCGGTTTCCTGCCGATCCTGGTTCCCAGCTAGCATTTGGCATAGTTTCGATAGCATTAGCTCCATCGAATCTATCCTTGCGCATTGTTTCTCCAGGTACTCCATTTTGGAACACTGCTTCTGCAATTCATCTATCTTTTCGTATTGTTTCTGTAATTCCGCCATTGTTTCTTCGATCTTCTCGCATATGTCACTGGTTCTATCTTCCACTTGCTCCTTTCTTTGCGCATTGTTCTTCGTCATTGATGAGACTTGCTCTGATACCAATTTGATATGGTTCAGACCTCGGATTCAACAGCTGGAGAAGAACTGCCCAGCTTTATTGATCTCCGAAAACAGGTACAACTTGGATGACTTTGATTTGAGAGAGGTCCCCACTCTCTCCCCCTTACAATTCTCCACTAGAAATTGCCTAAACCCCTTCAATCCCTCCTCTACTCTATTTATACAATCCCATCCTAACAGAACTACTATCAGCTAACCACATACCTAACTATAACAGACTATACAGCTGTCCATTCACATATACTAACCACCTATACAAACAAACACAATCAACATATACTATCCACATATACAAACACACAGACAATCAAACGCGTACCTTACTCTGTAGATGTCTCTTCCTGCTTCAGCTCCTGTCTTCTGTTCCTCCAGCTCCTTCTTCAGCCACTTCTTCAGCTCCTCCCTCTTGACCTTCACCCTTTACTGCTTCCTTTCCTCTCTTCCTGCCTCTGACGTAAACCCCGAAGTACTTATCATACTGTTTCAGTGTTCTTTCGTTTTTTCCGCCTTTTGTTCTTGTGAGCTTTGAGTCACCGTCTTCGGATAGTGGTCGCCTTCTTTATATGCTGAATGGTCGATGATTCTTTACCGTCATTTAAACTTTGAGATATTTGTGAAAATTATAGAACAAAAATCTATCTTCAGCATTGAAAACCTTTCCAGCGCTGTAGATGTATTGCAACGGTATGCTTTTTCAAATTCTTTTGTTTTTTTTTTCTGGCTTCTGTTCCTGTTAGCTTTGAGGTATAATCTGTTATGAGGAGAGTTCGACAGATCGAGCCATTGTAAATGCTTTGTGAAATGTGTGACTGAAAACATTGTGATGCCCTCAATCGGTTTACTTTTTAATGGCCATTTCATTTCTTGGAATCATCATAGACATGCAGCAGCTATCACAAATAGTCTACCCTATTTTTTCCCATAGTCTACCATAGGAGTCTCTGCCTGTTCGTTCTTTAATGAAGCTGTTTGCGGAGGTGCAGAGAAGTTGGACTGATGTGGGTTTAATTTCTTGCAATGTCGAGAGTGATACTTTTAGGTAGGGATTGCAGGATTTGGATCTATGTTAAAGTTGATCTTCCCCTAAAAGGGCATTATGAGGTAGGAGTAACAGCAATTTCAATGCATTGGACTTGTGGGTAGTATTAGGAAAGCATCATGTGATCTGGTCTAGATCCATCCAATAAAATATGAATTTCTTTATTTGTTGATTCACGAAATAACTCTTGTATCTTGTTTTCTTATTTTTGTCCAGGCATATCAGCAAAAGAAGATGTTGAAGTTTCCAAAAAAGCTAGAGATTTCTGAGGCTAGAACTTTTCAAGATATATATGGTACTTGGACTCCATCCAGAAATTTACCAGGACAGCATGAAAATCAGCTGGTACCCTCTTCACTGCGTTCTTCTTCGATGGCTATGAATTCGCCGATAAAGCTTCAAGGGTCTGACATTTCTCAGTACCCGCACATGCCAAACCCGTACATGACTGCTTCTGGTTTTGGGAATCTTGCAAATCCATTTCCTGCGACGCCTGTACTTTCAACCATCCAGTCTCCAGATCTTAAGACTCAGTTGCTGCATCTGTCCTACAACATTTCCCCTGTGTCTGCTATCTCAGTAAACAAGACGGGAAATGCCTCTGCAAGACCTTTGACCATGACTCCTCAGGAAAAAGTTGAAAAGTTGAGACGCAGACAACAAATGCAGGCAATGCTTGCCATTCAGAGACAGCAGCAGCAGTTTCGTCATCAGGTTCCTGGAGCTGATCAACCTGTCAGTGGAGATAATCCACTCCATCTTGTTGGCAATACTAATCTTGAAGAGATAGCTGCTCAGCCTTCTTTTGATCCTAACTCACCTTTGGAACAGGACGATTCCAGTAACGGTGCTGCTGCTGTCTATGATAATTCTGCAGAGTTCTCAGTTCTTTACCGGCTTCAGGATGTTGTGGCAAAGGTTTGACCCAAATGTTTGCTAGAATCGTACTCTATTAGATATCAGAATTTGGCTGCAGCCATGATGCTACAGTTTACGTAGGTGAACTTAATATTCTGATTTTACCTGCAGTTGGACATGGGAATAAGACTTTGCGTACGGGACAGCTTATTCCGGTTGGCTGGGAGTGCAGTTAAGAGACATCATGCTGATGATACAGCCCGTACTAACAAAACTAGTTGCGATGAACAAGAACCATTTGCCAAAGACGAAGCTAGAGAAAGCAACAGGTCAGTAAATCTTTGCAGTTTCATTAGTCTTGTACCATTCAATCATTCATATTCAGAGAAAGATTCAGAGGATACTGCATTTGTCACAGTGTGCCTCTCTATTGGACTCCTTAGTTCATTCTATTTATGGCAACTAAGATTGATGAATTATGTGAACGGCATATGCTCGTTTTAAACCCCTTCCTAACTTCATTGTTGACCATGTTTGACCTTCTGTATATGAAGGAAGATAGATAACATGTTGACAATATAACCTATGAAGTAGCACGAGTTTATAAAACGAACTCTTCCTCTGTTTCCATGTGGTAGATATGCCGGGTTGCCAGATACAGAAACAGTGACTAATCCCATAGACCGTACCGTGGCCCATCTTCTCTTTCATCGGCCTTTTGAAATGTCGATGAAGCATCTGGAGGGACCAGAATCTCCCGCTTCTTCAAAGATGGAAACCGAACGAAAAGGGAATCTTCCGAAATGCAGCACTCCAGAGAGTTACATAACTAAGCAGAGAGTTCCAGAGGAAGTACCATTGGGTACATTGGCTTCACCCGAGCAGCAGACGGGTCAGCTCGAAACAAGTCCTTGCGTTGACACTTCAGAGAATACACCCAATCGCAGATCCAGTTCTGCTGGTGGCACGGAGATTGAAGATTCCCAATGATAGCGAAAAACGGTAATTCCTTCCTATATTACTCAATTGCTCTCCTAGAGAGCTTCTATATTGATGTACTGGTAATTCCCGGATCTTATTTTGTTGTCAGAGAGCGGCTTGGAGGATTAAGATTTGCTGTCATCCTTTGTAGATATTTGGTGTCGGAGCAGCGAGTACAGTATCACCACCCATACAAGGAACTCCAGTAAATCTTTTCTCAGTCTCCTCTGGAACAAAGAAACTCCATTTAACCCGTTTTGTCTGAAGCTGTTTACTGTTGTTCGATGTGTGTCTAGAGACAAACCTTTCCTGTGTCTATACATACCTCTTGTGTGAACATCCTTTTGTGATGCTCCAATGTTTGCTCTTAGATCCTTTTGTCGCGTGATTGAAACCTGCAGGCTATGTTAGGATAAATAAGACTTGTGTTCCATAATATTTGACGAAGCAGTCATATATATATATATATATATAATGCGCTTTCTGCGGTCCGTAATATTTGACGCAGTCACATGTATACACACATATATGTATATGCACCACACATAGAGCTTGTGTTCAAGAACCCTACTCCCAATATAATAAGGAAAAAGAGTCCGTAATATATTTTTTTTATAAACCCTAAAGTCGACCACGGCGTGGAATCCTTGTATTGGCTTAAATAATACAATTCTATAACTATGTTTTTCTCCACATCTCCAATGCATGTGGAAAGGAAGGCAACACTAATTAGACGTTAAAACATTGAGTCAACAGCAAATTTAAAAAAAAAAATATCAAAGGGAGTTAAGACTGCCTGGGAGACGAACATTCATTTGGGGTTATAATAATAACCGTTCTCTCTTTTTTTTTAAAAGGTATGTATTCTTTTACAATAACCGTTCTATTTTGTGTACTGTAACTCATTTTCATTAACTATCGTCTCAGTATCTAACCCTATAAATAGCATGTGTTCTTAAAATACTCACATAATCCAAACATTTGTTTCTTCTAAAATCTATAAAGTAAGACTTTGCCTTTTACTTCAATTGCGTAGAGATGGAAAACAAATCTCGAGCAGTTTTTGTTGTGGTTCTACTTGCAGCCTTATGTATGACTGATTTCGTAAAACCAAGTTTGGCCGAGGTGCAACAACCGCAACAAATTTCGGGTTTTCCTATTGATCTGTCGAAATGTTGGTCGACTCTCTTCAACATTCCAGGTTGTTTGCTGCAAATCTCGACGTCGATTTTCTCAGGGCAGTTTGGGAGTATCGGCATCCCGTGTTGCAAAGAGTTTTTGGCAGTGAGTGAGAGCTGTTTGCCCCAAATGTTCCCTGTAACGCCCTTCATTGGTCCTCTTCTCAAAGACGGTTGCTCTCGGACTCTCAATCCTCCAACAAAAGAGTAGAGTAGCTATTGTATTACCATGCATAAGTTTTATCCTCAGAACAAAGTTCATTTGTTCTAAAATGTTGCCATGCCTAATTTTGGTGGTTGTTATTCACCATAATCAATAAACTCGAATTGAATTACATACAACGTTTCTGAATTTATTTTGCTTCATTTGCTTTAATAATTTAGTATTACTTCGAAACATATGTATCTCACGGACAAGATGTTCTAACAAATGACAGACCATACTGCCAATCCGAAAATATTAAAAAACCTGTTTCACATTATCCATCTGAATATTAAAACAATTTCACAAAATCTATGGATAATTTAAAAATAAAATCCATATGATCTTACCAATAAAATTATTTGATTTCAGATATCTAAACAATTTGAGTTTAAATTTAGATTTTTAAATCATGATATTTGACTTTTTATATTAGAGTTATTAACATTTGTAAATTTAACTTGAATATAAAAATAATAAAAAAAGTGAAACCACCTCATCCTATTGAATAAACGTTTGTAAATTTAACTTGAATATAATTGTAACATTTATCATCCTATGATTTGATTGCATTATTCTTTATTTAAACCACTTGGTCCATGTGCGATTTCTATATATTACCGTGTTAATTCTTGTTATATTTATTTTGTACAAGAATGACTATAAATTTTATAAACTTTAAAGGCTAAACCCAAAATAAATATAATTAAGGGGTAATCGCATAAAAATACCCGAACTTTTACAAAAATCCCAAATAAATACCTGAACTATAAAATTGTCATATAAATACCTGAACTTTTCAAAACTCCCACATAAATACCCAAACTTTTAAATTTTTTCCAAATCAAATAAACGCAACTGCTGACTCAGCAAAAAACTGCTGACTCATCAAAAAACTGCTGACTCATCATTCAAAAATATTATTAAATATCCAAATATTCATCTACATGTATTTAAATTAATATATATATATATATAAATTCACATATATATAAAAATATATATATATATATTAAAAATAAAATTATTTATAATTAATAAAA